AAAATCAATTAACAAACGGAGACGTAACAATATACTTAAATTTTGTTTACCATTGAATTTTTGAAAAAAGTGGAGTTATGTACCACGTTACCCCACAAGTATGGCTGCATGATATTTCTGTACACATTATGAACATAAATCCTTGATTATTGATATACACTTGATTATTTTTTTTTCAAGGAGATAAACTGTAACTTATCAGATATAATCAAAGTTTTGTACATAAACTTTTTTAATATTCTGACTAGAAATTGTCATAAATAATTGTCAAAGTGTTTACTACATAGCTCATCTAATGAACTTTAGGCAATCTTTACACATCATTCATCAAAAATGAAACATTCATAGTCTCCCTGGGTCTGTGATTGTGTTCTGGTCTAGGGATCTGAATCTTGCGCCTCGTTACCACAACAATTTTTTTTAGAGATCCTGCTCCACACTTTCAGGCTATCGGTGCTTTATAAAAGTGACGGTAAAATACCACTATTCATCTGTAATAGTCCACGAGTTTGTGACGTGTGTTGTTGACTAGCTACCTTCTCTCTAGTCTATCACTTCAAAATTAGGGATGGCTATAGCATATAGCTTTTTTTCATTAAAAAAATATCCTGCTTGGTATAAAGTTTGGAAATGATAGCGCTTTGTGGGTAAAATAACAATAATAATCATAGGTGTATAACCAGAAAGGTTTCGATCGAACCAGTCCTAAATGGTAAAGTGACTCTTTTACAAGACAAAATTACCAATTTACACAATTAGTATCAATTAGTGCTGAGTTACTTAATAATGCTATTATTACTTACCATTTGTACTTTATATCACTGCATTTTACCTGGATTCATTCTGTCATTTTGTCAATAATCAACATTCTAAAATATCAGGACACGTGTATTCCAGAAGCCTCCAGAATGCATCTTTTAGCACAAATTTTTCAAACATTTTATGGAGAAGATGCTCCAACACAATACACTTGTAAGGCCTGCAGTGCAGCTGCGTTCTTTAAAGGCCGCTGTAGCCTCTGAGATCAATAATACAAAGTATCTAAAAGTTTAGAACCATAGGTGATTTGTAGCTTTTTAAAATTTCAGATAAGTAACTAATTATGGTGCTGTCAAAGCATGAGAAGATAGAGTTTATCCTACTGTAAATTTAAACTTGTTTCGAATTACAAGGACAGCATATGGAACACATTCTCTAAATTTCATTGAAGTGCCTATGGTTCCAGACTTTTCAGACACCCATTATATAGTGCTTTTTGGATTTTCAGTAGTCCCATCCTTACAAAATCCTGGATACGGACAAGAATAACAATGAACACATACCTTGGATAATACAACTAGCTTGTGGTAAACTCCAGCTCCCGTTTTCCTGACATCTGATGAGTGGCATAGGATCAGAGACTTTATATGGACCTAAGCATTTTAATTCTGCTTCACTGTGGTAGGTCGTGGTCTCATTTAAAAGAATGTACTTCCCTCCCAGTAGAGGTAGAGGAGTGCCACACTGAATAGCTAAGAAAAAAAATCGTTATTTTGAAGAGGAAGGAATGAAAACAACTGTAATCAACATTTAGACCTTTCTTCTCTCTGAGTCTGACGTATTTCACTGATATGAAAACTGTATTCCTACATGCACACTGCATATATCTGATTTGATAATATTGTTACGACAGCGGTAGTGCGCCGGTTAACGTGAGACTATTCAAAAGAGAATTGAATTGCAGACAGAGATAGAGACGGACAATTGAGTCAAGCGTGTGAATCATTTGTTGTGAATTATAGCATTTGTTTAAGTTATAGCATGACTGTGGGAATTAAGTATATTGTAAAGTTGTATTGAGAAAGAATAAACTAGTTTTATTTAAGAAAGGCCTTGTATCACTAAACTTTCTTCGGAAAGAATTTTTATGGAAAATTAACAAACGAACACAGAGGCGTAACAATATTGTATTTAATATTCTTTGTCAAAACAATTTTTTTCTTTCTTTTCTTAGGTGGAAAACCTTGTAAGTTTAATCTTCTGATGCTTAAATATTATGTGGATTATGTGCTATTTGTTTATTGTAAAGAATCCGGCCCATACATACATAAAACCTGACATTGATGAGGCACTCAGGATATACAGTGGTAAATAGTGGTAGAAGCAGACATAAACAATTTGCAAAAATGCCTATATATGCACAGTTGTAGTTGTGGTGAAAATATTGTAGAAGTCAGAACCACAGTATATAACCATGTTGAGTGACTGTGAATAGTAAATAGGGAGGGGCGAGCAACTTGGGCTTAAAGATGATGACCAATGCGAGTTTGTTAAACAAAAACAAGACCCTGAGAGGAGAAGGGCGTCAACAGAAGAAAGAAAAGAAAGAAGAGATTGGAAATAGAGAGAGAATAAGAGCACGATTTGAGAAAGAATAAATAGAGTGAGAGGAGACACTGGAAATAGAGAGAATAAAAGCACAAACTGAGATCACCAAGCTCACCAAGCAGAAAGATTGGAGACCCAGGAATGACAATGGGGTCAAGGCCAGCCAACCCAAGATGCCCAAATTTAAAGAACAGAAAGACGACATAGATGTTTTCCTGGAGAGGTATGAAAGATTCAATCAAAATCAGAACTGGAATAGAGGTGACTAGTCAGTCTGTCTCAGCCACATTCTCACAGAAAAGACCTACATGTGTATGTGGGCATGACATCACAAGATGCCATGAACTATGAGAAGTTAAAAGTGGCCTTGATTGAACTTCAGAGAAGTCAAACCTGACACTAGAGAAACTATTTCAGTTTGTGGTACATCTACAACGATTCTCACAAGGTGGATGACATGGCCAATCGTGAAGATAGTTTTGAAGGACTGATAGATCTACTAATACATGAACAGTTCACGATCACATGCTCCACCGACATGTCACTGTTCCTAATGGAGAGAGCACCAAAAGATGTGGATGAGATGATCAAGCTGGCAGAGGAGAATATAGAAGCACATGAAGGGAAAATAATTGGCAAGTCCAAGAATAACCAGTCAAAGTCAAAATAAGGGGTGGCTGACCAAAAGCAGGATGCCACCAAAAGTGACAGAAGTCAACAGATGAAAAGGAGAAGAGATGATATGTTTGTTATAAAATGGGGCACATTGTGAATGAGTGCAAGTCTGTCACCAACAAGCAACAGCAGAAAGCTCAACATAAAGTAGCTAGATCTACTTTCAAAGATGTTGCTGGCAAGAAGTAAGAAAATAGTGACTGTCACTATGGATGCTGGAGAAAGAAGAAACAGAACAACTCGTCAGCTTCACCACAAGAAGGAAGTGCTATTACCATGATTGAACAGTGCATGATTCATGGTCAGCTCGAGTTAGCAAATGGGTCAACAGTGCCAGTGATGATTAGAGCATATGACTGACACTGAGAGGTGCCAACAAAGCACAACATGCCAGTAGGTGAAGGCTGTGTTGAGGACAGGAAAGTGAAAGTCCCATGCGATACTGGATGCAGCAGTGAGAACCAGTATAGTATCTGATGAGCAGATGATAGGCAAAGTACATCTGTGTGTCCTGATTGGTGAGACAGTGAGAAAGTATCCCAAAGCAAGAATGAAGAGATGGACACTCCATACCATGTGGGAGAAGGTATACATCTTGATCTCGGTGATTGACAATATACCAGACAGTAGAAATTTGGAAGAACTAAACAGAAAGAAGACTGATGAAGCATCTGCAGTAACCACAAGGGCCCGAGAAAAGAGAAGCAAGCAAGACATCAAGCTTTTGCAAGTCTTGAAAGATGACATCCCGTTTATAGGTCTACGGGAACTGAAGGAAGCACAGAAGAAAGACCCTTCACTGCGGGAACTTTGGGAAAGTGCCCAGAAGAAAGTCAAGTAGAAGACAAAGGGTAATGGGATTTACAGAATAGAGGACCAGAAGGGATTGCTGTTCCAGATCTATCAAGGTAGTTCTATTGGGGATGTTGAACAGATCATAGTACCACAGAATACTGGACTGAAGTGATGAAGTTGGCTCACAAGTCAGTTGTAGGAAGACACCTAGGAGTGAAGAAAACAGCAGACAGAATCACCATCAACTTCCAATGGCCATTGGTTATCAGAGATCGGCTAAAGGACAGTACCTACAGGAAAGGTAGCCATAGTGCCACTGGGTGAGATGCCTCTCATAGAAATGCCATTCAGTAAAGTATTGTGTACTTGATTGGACCATTAGCACCTGTATCTAACAAGGGCAACTGGTATATGTTGACAGTAGTAAAATATGCGACATGTTATCCAGACGCTATAGCATTGCCGAAGATAGAGACAGAGAAAGTAGCAGAAGCTCTTCTAGAAGTGTTTTTCAGAGTAGGCTTTCCAAAAGAAGTTGAGTGACAGAGGGGTCTAGACTCCAGTTTAACTCAGAACTGATGCAAAAGGTGTGCAGACTCATCATCATTACGCAGCGCTTTACTTCTTCAGATGTAATGAACTTTGTGAGAGAGCCAATGGTGTCTTAAAGAGCATGCTGAAGAAGATATGCCATGTAGTGCTACAAGATTTATTGTGCTGTTATGCAGATGTCTTCACAGATAGCCTAGGCAAGACAGACCTTGTGCAACACAAAATCAAGACCAAGACCCTGGAGCCAGATGCCTTATGCATTGAGAAACCTGATCAAACAAGAAGTCGAGGTAAAGTTAGAAGCCTTTGAATTCAGCCTTCTGTCAACCAGTGGTAACTGTCAAAAAATGAATGGCTCAAACCACTTCTGCATAGATTTCTGGAAGTGTAACCTCATGACGAAGTTTGACCTCAAACTTATGGGCAACCCAGAGGCTATTCTGGTGAAACTGGATAGGGCCAATCTCTTTACCAAGGTCGACCTCAGTAAAGGTTATTGACAGATCCCAATGGAGACAGAATCCAGAGAGAAGGCAGTCTTTGTGGCACCAGATGGATGCTACCAGTTCAAGAGGGTGTAATTTGGGTTAGTCAACTCAGCACCAACATTCAACTGTATGATGAAGACAATGTCCCACAAAAGCCCAACATTGAGCATTATGTGGATGACAGATGGGAATACCACATAAAGAAACCTGGAGAGCTGTTCAGGGGAGGGACGGCAGCAGGTCTGACTATCAGACCATCTAAGTGATACATTGGTTATTCTGTGCTGGACTTTGTTGAACACAAGATAGGCAACCAACAGATAGCCATGGAAGAGGAAAAGCTGACCTGCATACAAGATGCATCAGCTCTGATGCAAAGCAGGAAGTCAGAAGTTCATTCCAATCTATGCTGATATTACTGCACTACTGACTGATCTGACCAATAAGGTGAAGTGGAAACAACCACAAAAGAAGGCATTCCAGAAGTTGAAGAACATGTTAGAAAGTTTGCCAATTCTCGAAATGTCAGACTTCAACAAATCGTTCATCATTCAGGCCGATGCATCAGATGTTGGAATTGGAGCAGTACTTCTGCAAGAATATGTAGATGGACTGTTTCCCGTAAGTTACGCCAGTAAAAAGCTGTTGAGTAGTGAGAAGAACTACTCTATAATTGAATGAGTATCTGCCCATCATATTTGTCATCCAGAAATTCCAGATCTACCGATACAGGAAGGAGTTCATCATCCAAACTTACCATCAGCCCCTTGCATACACCCAGAGGTACAAAATCAACAGTGCAAAGTGGGTGTTGTACTTACCAGTTCTGCATTGAGGCCATCAAAGAAAGTACAGATGTTGGTGTAGATTGCATGAGTAGACTTTATGCATGAACTGAAAACAGTCTTTGTATATAGTATAAAAACATATTGTAAATATTTTTCTTGAAGACGGGTTTATTGTTAGATATACACAACTGTTTTAATTTAAGTATAGTGCGAGTGTTAAATTTAATTATTTTTAGAAATGATAGTTTTTCACAAGTTTGTTTACATGACAGTTTATGAATCACCTATCGTGAAGTTAAATTGTTTTGAATTGGTGATTGTTGTATTGCGCCATGTTACTAAAATCTTCTAAGATTTTCTCGTTATTTTAATTGAGTGTTATTGCATCATAATATCTCGTAGTGTTTGGAACGTTCTAGGCTTCTGTGGGGCTATAAATAATCATTCAAAATTTACTTCAAGGTAGATAGGTGGATCTAAACTGAGTGGTTGTGAGTGTAGCCATAAAGAGCATGTAGTGGCGATTTTTAAACTGAAATTATCAAAGACTGTATTGTAATAACAGAACAAATTGTGTTCTAAAGTAACTGAACCAGCATGTGTGGAATTTGATGGCAAAAAGACAATTAATTAAAGCTCTGGATGACCATTTGTATATACAGTCTTTACAACATATAAATAGAATTAAGTTCAATTTTACCCCCTTTGGACATTTCCCATATTTCATAGTGTTTGCATACAACCTTTGGTGCAGATTAACCCAATAGGCTCTGAGGAATTAGGGTGCAAGCAAACACACACATATAGTCTTTATATAAATAGATTGGAATTCCACAGTATAGGGGCCAGTAAAAAATTACGAAAACATTATCACTAGTCTTATTGTGATATAAAATCACACAAACTTATCATTTATTTATGATGATGTGCTGGGCATATCCCCAATAAATAAAAATCTATATCAAAATTATATTTTCGATGACGTGCAGTTCACTTCAATATTAACTGTATTGACACACAAAGTGATACATATAACATATTTCAACATTCTACTTACAATGACATTTTGAATCTTCTCCACTCCAGCCTCCATCGTCTTGACACACTCTGGTAGCATTTCCATGTAGAACATAACCTCTTTTGCAAGAGTAGGAAGCTATACTTCCCTGAACAGGACGTTGTTTCCTAAGTTTCGTTATCCATACCTTTCCATTTTGAATATCATCCAGCAAGCGGCAGGTGACCTCTATATGTTACAATAAATATGTAGTCAATATACAGTATTAGAAATAATTATGGAAACACAGAAACAGGAGCCACAAACTATGTCTAAATGCAACTAAATGGTCTATTTATCATTGTACAATAAATTGTTATAGAAAATCCAAAAGACAAGAAAATATGATGTTATTTTGTATTTATTATAAACTAAGCAATAAACCTTGTTTTAATGCTGCTACAAGTTTATATCTGTATGATGTATGATATGATATTAAAATTTTGCATTATTACTCACAATTCATCTGTGTCAATAGGTTGCCGTTGAACCCTCTATTTTCACTTAAGTCACTGTTGGCAATAAATCTACTGGATTGTGGAGTATCACAAAAATAGCATATTCTGAGTAACTTAACATCACTTTTGAAAAATTTGGGATTTCTACCTCGACCACTTCTTTTATTAACATTACTAGTTTTTCGTGTGGTGTTTCTGTCCTAAGAGCCATTGTTATTACTAGATATTATACAGTTCCCTATACTTTTATAGACATTAAGCTGTTGGTGTATTGTATGATTGGTTGAATGACAGCCAATCGCAGTATAAACTATCATGAATCCCACTGTATTTGAATTTGATATATATATATATTACCAGTTTACATTTAATAAAATCGCTCTTCCTGTTATAGAGGATGAGTCTCCTGAATCATAGCCCTGTTGGGCGTATGTTAATTAGCTTCAATTATTTGTCAAATGAAACAGGAAACTAGGCTTATTTCACTTCAATCGACAAATAAAAACCCTTTATCATGTTTATCATAATTTTTATTATGTTTCTTTTTAACTTCATCCATTGATTCATCAATTGCATTTTTCTACGATCTAAGTTGAATTTCAATGATCATATAATGCAAAACATACAATTAGATAGGGGTCATCCTCTTTCTCCTTTATCTTATGCTTTGGCTATTCAATGCTCAATTACTACAGAAGTTAATGTGAATAAAAGTATTATTGAAATCCCTATTTGAGGAAGTTACAGAGTGAAACAAAAATGTCTTGAACTTGTAGACAATATTATTTTAAATTTTTCTACAAGAGTTTTTTTTTATTATTATTAACCTTATTCTTAAGTTTGTCAGGAAATGGGTAAAATTAGATGAGCCAAAATTGACTAGGAGAAATCTCATGATTTTTGAATTAGGTAGGTAAGAAGACGAAACAGACAGTTCGGTAAACTCATGTAGACAAAAAGTCTGTTAAAAATTTGGGTATTTGGTCTGGCCCTATATATACCTCTTGTTATAACTGCTAGACCGAAATTCAAGAATCACCTTCTTTTGGGTTGGGATGATTGGACGTTATCTTTCTTGGCTAAAGTCCTTGTTACCAAGCAAATTGTTTACCCAAATTTTACCTTTTTAGGTAATTATTTTCCTCCTCTTGTGAAAATTGCTAAATTAAAATGTTTTCCAACTTAAGCAAAATGGTAAACATCTCAACCGCACACTATGTGTGCCGCACGCTAGTATCAATAAGGTCTTTCACTTAATAACAGAGCCCATTAGGTTGACTGGGAATGGCACACACACAAAGAATCGATCAAAGCACTATTTATATTTTGTAGGAAATCAGTAAATACAAAACAAATATCATCAGCCTTATTGCAATGTAATGTCACACGATTTGAACATGTTGGATCTGCATTCTCCATTGTCCTCACATATTGTGATTTATAGAAAACTTTCAAAATTCTATTTACTATGACATGTAGTCCACTCCAGCATTCATTGTATCGACACACAAAGAGGTACATATAAAATATGTCATCATTTTACTTACGATGACATTCTGGATCTTCTCCACTCCAGCCTCCTTCATCTTGACATACTCTGGTAGCATTTCCATGCAGGACATAACCTCTTTTGCAAGAATATGAAGCTATACTTCCCTGAACAGGACGTTGTTGCCTAAGTTTTGTCGTCAATACTATTCCATTTTGTATATCATTCAGCAACTGGCAGGTGATCTCTGTATGTTATAGTAAATATGTAGTCAGTACACAGTATTGGAAATAATTACTGAAACATACATGTGATACATACACAGGAGCCAAACAGAGAGTAATTGCAACTGTGTGGCCCATTTGACATTACTGTAATACATTATTACGGAAAATACAAAAGAAGGAAAATTTTCTTGTCCAATACACTAGTATTTTGTACTTTTTTAAAACTGAGCACTTCATCTTATCAATGTGAATCTTTCTAACAAGACTGTTGTTCGCAATGCTTGAAAGGAAAAAAAAAATCAGATTCTTAGATAAATGGGGAAGTGCAACTATCTTTTTTTACCACAATTATTCCCGTTTTAGTAGGTGATTAAACCAACCTGTTCCTTTCCATATTATCCACGAAGAGATGTTCGGTGATGTTATGTGATGTTGAATGCATTGTACATACCAAAAAGAAATAATATCATTAGACTCTTACACATATTATGAAATACCAGCCTCGAAGAGCTTTACAGTTTCAATCAGGCATCATAATCTTTCAAGTACTCTGTACTTTAGATTCATATATCTGGCCGTATAAGAAGTAACAGTACATAGGACTTCGGAAAGCATTGTTTACTTAAGAGTTGTAGTGTTATTCAACCTGACTGGCACCCCTCGCATTGAGATTGAATATTCCCATGTTAGGATAAAGAATTTGTTTGTTTGTTGTGAATTTCGCGCAAAGCTACACCAAGGCTATCCGCGCTAGCCGTCCCTAATTTAGCAGTAAAAGACTAGAGGGTAGGCAGCTAATCATCACCACCTACCGCCAACTCTTGGGCTACTCTTTTATCAACGAATAGTGGGATTGACTGTCACATTATAACGCCCCCACGGCTGAAAGGGCGAGCATATTTGGTGGGATAGGGATTCGAACTTGCAACCCTCAGATTGCGAGTCAGGCCAGGATAAAGAAAATTTGTAACATAAAATAAGTTGCTACTGTACGTGACCTAAATCAGAACTTCGCTCTTAATATGGCTTGTGTTCGAGCTCGTTTCCCATTGAGTTGAACTAATTGGAACTAGTATCCTTGTTTCAACATCTAGACGTTAAACAAGTTTTATAAGATTGTGCAAACGTTAAAGTTTATTGAAAAAGTAACTAATGGAAAGATATGTACCGTGATGACTGGGGAAAGTGCTTTGGTGGAACTCAGTATTCAGGTTAGTAAGGGCAATCCTTGATCTGATACTCGTAACATGACTGGTTCTGAAAGAGGTCTTCAAACTTATAATGGATAAGAATCGTAAAAACAGAAGCCTGGTAACTTTGGTTGTCCTCTGTAGAATGTTGCCGAACTTAAAGCCTGGTAACTTTGGTTGTCCTCTGTGGAAATTTACCGAATTTGAAGCCTGGTAACTTTGGCGGTCCTCTGTAGAACGTTGCCCAACTTAAATACTGGTAACTTTGGATGTCCTCTGTGGAATTTTGCCGAATTTGAAGCCTGGTAACTTTGGCGGTCTTCTGTAGAACGTTGCCCAACTTAAATACTGGTAACTTTGGTTGTCCTCTGTAGAATGTTGCCGAATTTGAAGCCTGGTAACTTTGGCGGTCTTCTGTAGAACGTTGCCCAACTTAAATACTGGTAACTTTGGTTGTTCGCTGTAGAATGTTGCCGAATTTGAAGCCTGGTAACTTTGGCGGTCCTCTGTAGAACGTTGCCCAACTTAAATACTGGTAACTTTGGTTGTCCTCTGTAGAATGTTGCCGAGCTTAAAGCCTGGTAACTTTGGCTATCCTCTGTGGAATTTTGCCGAATTTGGTAGTCCTTTTCTTGTTTGTCTTCTACCATTTCTGTTATTCCAATATTTTCAGGATTTTAATACGTCTAGTGAAGTGAAGTTTAATCTTTAGTTATTATTTGTTGCTGTACAGTGCATAGTTATTGGCGAGAAGAGGCATATTATTACCACTTCTCAATTCCTTTATTTAATACGTGGTAATATCTATGCATGGGGCAAAAATAGCAGCAGCATAACTTAATAGTTTATTTAAAGTTACAAGTAAGTTTCCTATTTTTGCATGCAAAAACATGGACCTTTAAAAGAGAAGTTCCCCAAAATATAGTCATGTAATAAAAGAGTTTCTGGCAAAATTAAACGTAGTTTTTATCAACTGTAACTATTTTTCTTCGCCACTACAGTTATTATTTCATACAAAACCTTTAAAAAACGATGGTATTGTTGAAATTCTTAACATGTAATTGGCATTTTTATGTGTTCCAGTTATGTTTAAAATTATAAAAAGGTGAAAGAACAAAGTTGAAATTTCAACATCTATATCTTATTAATAGATAGCTGTGGTAAAAAAATCGCCTTAAATGCCATAATAACTAGTTATAACATATTATTACTACGAATGATAATAAAATTTAACATATAAACGTTAACTTTTGTTACTTTAGTGATAGTTATATATTGTTGATTACAACAGTTTTATGGTACTGTTACGTCTCCGTTTGTTAATTAACTTTCCGTAACTTCGTTCGGACGAAACTTTAGCAACACAAGTTCTTTACTTAATAAAACTGTTTATTCTTTCCGAATACAACTTTACGATACACTTATTTTCAACAATCGCGCTAAAACAAACGCTATATCAACGAACGTCAATAATACTTCTGACTGCAGTTCAATTACTCACTATCTTCAAACACACATTACATTATTCTCCCGTCACGTTGTCACCCTCTTTTATATACCAGACTACCCTATATCTAGTGTGTGACGCCACGTTTCTAGAACTATCCTGTACCTTGGCGAATGCTCTAGCATTTTAGTCATGTGACTCGCTGACGCAACACTGCCCCCTCCTTAATATTGTTCGTCCCGAACAATAACCACATATAATAAACCAATAACAATAACTTAATTAAAATGTACAGAATTACAAACACAAAATTACAATTCAACAAAGTCTCTTAATTTTACGGGACGTATCTTCTTCCGTACTGGTCTCCGTCTCGTTGGCTTCTGCTTCACGTGGGGTTCATCTACTTCATCAGGAAATGTCCTATCATCGATAACAGTCACATCAGCGGTAGTAACTTCATCAAGATCTTCACCGTTTCCCTTCTCAAAACTGAGTAGAGTTTCTTCTTCGACTGTGGCTTCTTCAGGTGTCACGTCTTCAGCAGCGTCATTTGTTCTGTGGTCCACTTCGTCCCAACTGAAATGTCCTGGACCGTGATAACGCCAAAGCCTGTTAGCATGCACCACTTTTGGTTTACCTCGCCGACCACATTTTACCCGGAAAGTCACGTCTGAGAGACGATTCAATATGTCATATGGGCCTTCCCATGGAGAAGACAACTTAGGAGACTTCCATTTGGTCTTCCTGGGATTATACAACCACACCTTGTCTCCTGGTACAAAGCTGACTTCAGTAGATCTCTTATCATAAGTTAACTTCATCGAATCAGTAGACGTTTCCAAGTTTGAACGCACTTGATGGTGGATAACACTTCCACAAACTCTGACATATTCACAGGCAACTCTTCATAAGGTGGGCGTCCCTTATGCTTGGGTCCTCCTTTAGCATTCTTCCACATCTCGCCTCAGATCTATCCAGTAAAATTTTGTTGTAGGTGACTCAATGTCTTCTTGATTCCGAGATGTCCTCCTGTTAAATTATCATGGGATTGACGCAGCACAACTTTCCGTAACTTCCTCGGTATAACTGTTTGCCAAGTCGTCACTTTCCCATCGGTAATTTCCCATCTCCGTACAAGAATACCATATGCAAGCTTTAACTGGTCCCATTGCACCCAACAGTGCTTTGTCACAGGACTTAGACTAGACACCTTC